GTAAACACCAATACACCATCTAGGGTTCTGAGTCAGGTCTGAGGCAAAACATGGCTAACGGTCTACCGTTAAGAGGCAACTCAACTCAACTATGGCTGGAGATCAACACGGCTACGCTTCCGCTATCATACGAGGTCAGGTTTCTCGTATACTATTGTTCAGTATTAGTTAGACTATTGTATATCTAACAAACTATGCAGAAGGTTTGTTTTGAATTTCTAATTATTTGAGACTGTTACTATAATGAATCAAGGAGGTGAAAGCAAACTTCCACTCCGAACAGTCCTATCTGAACAGTAAATTCAGAGCTGCAATTGGGAAAGAAAATCTTTAACTAAATATTTTCTTATGTACTCTAAGAGTTTCAGTGATAGATAGGTCTTGTTACTTCCATCAATTCCTTGATTTTCATGTGGTTTCCTTAATTTTGGGTTATTTGCCTGTTCTTCTGAACAGCTTAGTTTAATGTTATGGTCAAAAGAACTTGTGTAATAGAAGTTATTTATGATATAAATAGAAAAAGCACTGTGTATCATGAGAGATACACATATTTTGTGAATATTGCACTTGTGTTTGTTGTAGACATTGGGCTTATGACTTATGAGTCTTGATATGGGAAAGTTGCTATTTGGCCCTAATTTTGAAACTATTATTTGGATATTTCTCCTAAGTAGATTATATCATATAAGTTGCTGCATTTGTACCTCAACCTTGTGACAAGTAGTCTCTTATAGGAATTCAGCTTTATTTTTAACAGAGGAGATTGTTAATTATTTGGTTTTCCAATTAAAATGGGGTTGAACTAATTAAGTTCTGTTTCTCTTTCTGAGAAAATCAAGCTTGCATATTTTATGCTCTGTACTTGGTGCCACTGAGTTGTTCTATATCTGTGGCTGCTTATCATGATTCTTTTTCTTTATTGTTTGTTGAGTATATGTTTGTCATGATGACATTTGGTTTGTGCTTTCTTGAAAGTGAAACTTAATTGGTTCTATCTTCTATGTCCTGCTGAATGTGTCGTATCAGGAAGTTTCTTCATTTTTAGTAGATCTCAGGATACATGGATAGTTACTGCGCGCTTTCTTTCCTGAACCAACCAAGACCATGTAGCAAATTAAATTAAAGATGATAATTAATTTGGATGGCATATTTGACTTACCATGTTGATTTTGGTTTGTTGATTTAAACTCCATTGCTGCTGAGTAAATGGCTGCAAAGAAGCACTTGCTATCTCTATATTGATTTCTGCTTTGCCTGAATTTATGTGTTTGGAATGCTTAGTACTGTGATTAGCTTGGAGAGAACCAATTTCTGTGATGAAATTTACATGTTATAGGCAGAGTAGTACCCAAACAAAATATACTAAAATTGGTGAAATATAGTGAAATTTCTGAAGTTGCTTGCATTGCCAGTTATGTCTGCTTAGGCAGAAGAAAACATGTGAAGAGCTTCTGTGACTGTCTGTTGTAGATATTGTTTGCTGTTTCATTGTTTTTGTCAACAGAGAGATGAATTTGGCAAATACTCACCAAAAACAAAAACAAAATAAAATAAAATAAAATATATTTGGTCTTTCAATGCCGCAGATCTGGGAGGGATAGACATATATCCTTTGAATTGTTTGTGTTTTATTTAACTGAGACGAACGAAAGTTGTTATTAAATAGAACAAATCAGTCTCAATGCCGCCTTCTTTTGCAGGTCTTCCTCAATTTTTCTGTGTTCAAATCGTCATATCTGTGCACAAAATTCATACCATCTTAATTTTTTGATCTAAATTAATTAAAAAGTATATGATTAATTACATATTTAATTACTCACACTCCTTTGAAGTATACGTAGGGTCGATATAGGTTTACTAGCTTCATCACAAATTTGATTTTTCTATCCATCTCTTCATACATTTTCTGGAAATACTTACAACATATAGTGTTCAATATCTCCAGCCCCTGTTCATTACAGCCCTACATTCAGATAAAAACAATCAAAATAAGGGTCTGTTTGGAAATTTGAAAAAATATTGTCAAAAAAATGATTTTTAGAAAATAACTCATTTTCTAGAAAATAACTATTTTTAAGCCCTTTTTTTTTTTTCCAAGAGAATTAAGGTGACAAAATAGCAATTCTTTTTGGGGTGTTTCCAATAATTTTTATTACTTAAGTTTTTTCTTCCATATCAATAATCAATGTATTTTGGATTTCCATGAGACAGAGGAGCTGTTGGAGGATGATAATGATGATACTTTCTTTTATGTTGAGAGTTTTTAGGAAGATGCTAAACTCTTCGTAAGTATTATTGTTTAACAGATTTTGACATCACATGATTACCTTTTATATGGAAGTTTAGTGCTAGATAGTGTTAAATTGGTTACTCTTGATTTTAAGTTTGGCGATGGATCTGGAGGAGGTGGAATTGCTCTTGCTGGGACACCATGGGACAAAAAAGCATTAGAAATTGCTGAAAAAGTTGCTCTATCATTTGATGGAGAATTTGGAATGTATGCCTTTAAGATGCAAAAAAATGCCCACATTCAAGTGCGCATGGAGAGACTCACAAACAAGTAAGCTATGGGTGCGAATGATTCTGAGTTTTGACAGTAGTAAGTTCATATGGTATTTTGTAGTCATATATCAAAGACTTGATCTTTAGTTAGTGGTTTCTTTGTTTTTACTTACTTTAGTTCTAATTTAGCTATTCCGAATTTCTTTATGTTTTTATTAGAGTAAAAGACATTTTTGGTCCTAGATTTATGGTGACACGGACAATTTTGATCCTTTATAAAAAAATCAGACAATTTGTGGACACACTTATTGTGACGAAGACAATTTTGGTCCTCCGTCACTCCTCCCGTTAAATGTCCTGTTTGAGAAGGGTATTCGAGTCTTTTCATGCACCATCATCTTCTCCCAGGCAACAGACGTAATAATCTTCTCCCTTTATCGATCCTTTGCCCACATGATGAATTAACTGGCCATCAATGTTAAATTCCTAGCTTTTATCATCCTTGTTAGATTTATTCAACTTTAGGAACTGAGGAAATCCCAGGAGTATAACTGGATTGCTATTTCACTTTTTGTAGTACTTTGGGGCATTTCTTTATCTTTTATTAATTTCGCATTTTCTCTCTCATTATTATTATATGAATACTTTAACTAATTAAGGAACACTATATATATTTCATGCAAACTAAATCATTTTAAATACTAGGTCTAAAAATCAAGAAATTTTTTTTAATATTGTGTTATTTTGATAAGGATGTAGTCCCAAAAAATGGAACTTAAAAAATACACAAAATTATATCGTGTACAAGGCCTTTGGTTAACAAAGGCAACAATATTATGTACGGAGTACTTCAATAAGAGTGTTGGACATAGAAGTATAGAAAACTGAAGTCTTTAAAAGTGTTGGACATAGTAGTATAGAAAATTGAAGTAAATAGTTTAATATTATTTAAGATTCTAATGTAGTTTTTTTTTTTTTTTTTTCCATTTTATATTATATGAAAAAATTAAAATTAAATAATATCAAATTTGGAGTCTAATTTTTTTTTTTTTTAAATCTCCTTGATAAAATGAAACGATGTCGTTTAGATACCTCACTATGTGACGTTTGGTTTGTGGAATATATTAAAATTGAAATGTCATTCCATGAAATAGATTTATTCTAGATTTTTACGGCATAGAATCTGCTATTCCTCTTTGCCATGGGAATAGCTATTCCCAAGCCCATTTGTATTAGGTATTCCTAATCCATCAAGAATATGTATTTTTTATTAAACAAAAATACCTCTACAAACCGTTATAAATAATATATCTCTTTCAAACTCCTACCATTATTGACTTGGCTCTCTTTCTCCAAGAAGCAAAAGCTCTTTCTTACTTCACTAATTAAAAACTCTTGTGTCCTAACCAATCCTGTGCTGGAGTAACACAAATGGCGGAGGTGTCACCACTTTGGCTGCGGCATACTCTCTACGTGGGGGATCTTCACCCGGAAACCACAGCAACTGACCTCGAGGTTGCATTTTCTGTGATTGGCCCGTTGGATTCCTTCGGGATTCGCAAAGACGCCGTGTCTGGGAAATCTCTTTGTTATGCTTTCGTCAACTTCTCCTGTATTTCTCACGGTAACAAACCAAACCATCCTACTTAATTTTCTACGTCTATTTGCGTTTAATCTCTTTGCTATGCTTTCTTGGGTGACAAGTACGTTAGTGTGGGTCTCAATGAAGGGTTGTGTTTTTTTCAGTTTTGTCCCCAAAAGTTTGGCTGGTAACGGTAGAGAGTGAAGGGGTGTATTTGGGAATAATGAAAAGGTGATGTTTTTCATCACTAGGAGACATGAACATTAAATGTAAAATTGAGATTAACCTGATAAGATACATACCACTCCCAGAGAAAATATAGGAGGATTATATATGAACTGGAGGGCTCTGGGACAATTTTTAATACAAAGTGAAAATAAATTTTTGTTTCAGAAATTGAATTTTCTTTAATAAAAATATTTCTAAAAAATTTTGATAAACTATCATTTTACAGGCTCCACGCACCTAAAAAAAAATTAGGTCTTACTTAAAGTTAACATATATTTTCATGTCATGATTGAATGATTATAATTCGCAAATAATTATTTATGTTTTTTTTTTTATCAGCTTCAAAGGCTCTAGCATGCCTAAACCATAAAACCCTGAGAGGAAAGCCAATGAGGATTATGTGGTGGCAAAGGGAATCAGAGCTAAGAAAAGCTGGGATTGAGAATGTTTTTGTCAAGAACCTTGCTCATTCCGTCACCAGTGCTCAATTAGAGAGCATGTTTAGCAAATATGGCATAATACTGTCCTGAAAAGTCGTGGAGGAGAAAAATGGAAAGAGCAAATGTTTTGGATTTGTTCACTTTGAAACACAGAACTCAGCCATTTCTGCTATCAGTTCCCTCCATGGAGCAGTGTTTGAAGGGAAGAAGCTGTAAGTTGCCTACTCCCTTTTTACTACCTGGCAATTATTACACAACCTCCATTAACACTACACAAAAATAATTGGTTAGTGTTTGTCCCGGGGATCATTAACGGGTTCATCCATTAAGAACCCGTTAGGTTTCAATTCGTGTAACTTTCTTTATATGTTTCTGAATTTGGAATTTGGAACCTGCATGCTCTTAGCTTTCATCTTGTAGATTTTGGGTTCAGAGTATTGTTTCATTCAAAAAGTCTAGCTAATTGGTTAAAATTGTTTGGTGTTTTTCAGACATGTGTCCCCATTTAAGAAGAAATAAGAGAGGATGATGGATGCATTTAATAAAAAGAAAAAGTTCACTAATCTATATGTGAAAAATTTCGGTTACAATATGACAGAGGACTTCCTAAGAGAGAAGTTCTCCCGATATGGGAAGATCAATTCTGCTGTCATTATGAGGGATGAAGAAGGAAATTCAAGAGGCTTTGGCTTTGTCAATTTTGATTCGGATGAAGATGCTAGGAAGGCAATTGAGGCTCTTAATGGTGAATTAATAGGTACGTGCAGTGCATGCTTTGATGCTTATTATATATGTATGTATTTCTCACGTACGTTTTGAATATGATTGTATGCTAATGTAATTTCTTCATATTGTCATCAATCTCAGGATCAAAGAAGCTGTTTGTTGGAAGGGCACAGAAGAGGGCTGAAAGGGAAAGACTCTTGAGAATCAATCGGGACCTGCGCACGTTTTCAATGAGGGATGTGTTGTGTGTATAATATATAAACATAAATATATAGGTCAATCTAGTAAGTGATCAATATTTGAATAGTGAGTGATGATTTGTAAATCTAGAATATATTGCTTTCTATATTTACAGGTTTGCTAATTCTGTATTAGTTTACCAGCTGCTTGTTCTTCAAATGAATACAAACTATTTGCTTGAGATTTGGCATATGCTTAAAACAATGGAGAAGTTACAGTTCCTATCTTTGTGTATTATGTATTGGAAAGAAATTTTAATGTTAAAATGTCAAGAATTTTTTTAATATTGTGCTATTTTAATAAGGTTATAGTTCCGAAAAATAGAACTTATAAAATAGGCAAATTATATCACGGACCAATCAATAAGATCCTTGATTAACAATATTATGTATTCTTGATTAATGATTGAAAAATAGAATTTTGGTTAACAATATTATGTATTCTTGATTAATGATTGAAAAAGAATTTTGGTTAACAATATTATGTATTCTTGATTAATGATTGAAAAACAGAATTTTGGTCAGAGTACTATACAAAACTAAAATAAACGGACCTAATATTCAAATTTTAAGATTATAATATTGTTTTTTCACATTATAATTCTATGAAAAAATAAAATTAAAAAAAAAAAACAAAATTTTTTTTCCACCAAAATAAAGTGAAAAACTTTGATATACAGACAAAATTTTTCCTATATATATACAAATTTGTAATTAAATTTGAAAAGTAGAAGTTCAATGGCAAGAATTATTTATTGTTATATAATTTCATTTTTTTTTTTGGTAAAAGTGAAAATCGCACTTTCAAGTTTCAATCCCTCAATTATTGAAGATTTGACGGATATGCAATGTAGTTTTGATTTTCAAATTTCAATTTTAAGAAATTCAATCTTTCAATTATTTCAATTGTAATTTCTTTTAACCGCTGTTTAATGAATTATTTTTAATCCCCCAATTTCTTCCATCCTTCGGCATGCCAAAATCTTCTACCCTAACACCATACCATTCCCCAACCAAACACCATATGCATGAGAGAATATGAGCCAATTGGTGCAAATAATTAGTGGGTTGTGAAATTTCTAAAAAGTCATGTCTTGAATGACTATTAAAGAGAAATTTTACGAGATGACTAAATTGGCTATGTTTGAAATAATTGAAAGACTAAAATTTTCAAAATTATATCTTGGACCATGATCTTCAGCTAACAATATTATATACATTCAATTAACCATTGAAGAAAATGAGAGTTAGACAGAGTAGTATAGAAAATTGAAGTAAACAACCTAACATTCAAAATTTAAGATTCTAATTAATGTAGGTTTTTTACACTTTATACTGTCTCAAAAAAAAAAAGTGAAAAACTATGATACAAAGACAAATATAATTACAAATTACATCCTATAAAGACAAAGGTTCAACTAGACTGAATTCCATAATTATAAAATATGCTACACTGTATTCTAAATCAAATCATACTCTATTCAACTCCCCCTCAAAAACAATAATGGAACTTCAACTGGGTAAAACTTATTAAGACTCTATGTATTTTAGTCACTTAATAATATAGAAATCGAGGATTATATTAAGGAACCGATCGAACAAAGCATATTTTTCTTACATAACATTTTTCCTATTCTAGCAAATCACAATAGCTGTGGTGATTCAAAATTAGGTTAAAAAAATATAAATAAAACATTTTATCTTAAATCAAAGTAATCATTTTTTTTTTCCATAATATATGTAAATTTGTAATTTTTAAATTAATTAAAAAGGTAGAAGTTCAAATGTGAGAATTATTTATTTTTAGTTTTGGCTTCTAATTAATTTTTTGTTTGTTTGTTTGTTTTGTTTTTTTTTTTTTTTTTTTTTTTTTTTTGTAATATTATCTAGAAATTATATGATTGTATGAATGAAGTATTTAAATAATGAAGAAGATTATAACATAAGTTTTTATTGATGAATGAAATAGACAATAGAATAGATCAGACGTATTGTGAGTGATAAATTATACTATATTAAATCAAGTAATTATTCACATTCAAGTAAACTAAACTAAACTCCGTAACTATACAATATGCTATTCTAAATCAATTCATATGTACATAATGTATTTTACGGACAAAATAAAGGAACTTAGTCATCTTGTATGTATGTATGTAAGTCTGGGTGTGAGTTAATTCTCTTTGATGTAAAGTTATATAAAAGAGAAATAAAACCTACATTTCAATCCATCAAATACACTAAAAAAAAAAAAATTAATTCATAATATTCATATACAAATCATAATAAATAAATTCATAACAATAATAGTAAAAATAATAACATAACTTTCTAAGCCTTTAAGGTTTTATATATAGCTTTTAACTTTCCTTTTATATTAAGTTATAAAAAGGTCTGTGTAAATGGGTTAACACAAAAAAAAAAAAAATTAAAAAATTAATAGGTTTAAGGGCTTGTCATGTTAAAGACAGGAAACATAACGGGTTAAACCGGTTAACGACATACTGAATGTGATAGATCATACTATAGTAGATCAAGTAATTATACACATTCAAGTAAACTAAACTCCATAATTTTTCAATATGCTATTCTAAATAGATTGTGAATAAAGAAAGATACAGAATTGAAGAGCTACATACGTCATATCCTTACATATCCTGTATGTATTTTTTTTTCAACAAAGGGAATGCATAAATCAAAACTTCAAGTCTCACAAAGATGGCCTAAAATTGACCACCTCAACAGAAATGCTTTCTAGCTCTACTTTATTCAAACTAACTAGATATATACAAGAATATGCCTCTAATGTCAGGGCCAAACAAGGCTCAAACCAATCAAGGATATGCTCTCCAAGTAATTCCTATCATTAACAATCAAACAACTCTCCAAAACCTCCACAAACCAATAGTCAAGATTGAGCTCCCCGTCCCACACAAAGGATGGGACCGATGCCCTTTCAAGTAGGATTCCAACTACCCTTTAAGCCACCCTTAAGCCAAGGCCCCATCCCCACCGGCACAGCGTACTGTGTTTTAGCCCGAGAGAACTTAAGGGACCCGACTTAAGCAATGGCACTCCCCTCCTTCCACCCTCACACCCAAGACTCACCCCCACGGCATAGCGTACTATGTTTTAATCCGGGGGAGCTTTAAGAGTCCCGATGTGAGCAATGGCTCCCTCCCCACCACCCTTAGGCCAAGGTTCAACCCCCCACGGCATAGCGTACTATGTTTTAATCCGGGAGGGCTTTAAAGATCCCGACCTAAGCAATGGTCTCACCAACTCTCCAATCCCGGCCCCATTATTTAAACCTCTTTCCAGATTTTTGCTTTCATATTTTCCAAACTTCTTTCTCCAGTACATATTTTTCATATTCTTTTCCTTTCATTTTCAATCCTAAGGAATCACCACCATTCCAAGCACTCCCATCTCAGAGTGTATGCTATACTTGGAGCTCAATCTAACCCCTCCAATCTAACACAAGACAGAATGAGCAATTAAATCAAGCAATAACAAGGAGAGCATCCCCTTTGACAAGCAAGCCCCCCAGCCCCAACGAACATAGAGTAACAAGCAGAGCTAGAAGCGCCCAAACCACTAAACAAGCTATATATGCAACAAGTCAAGAGGGAATTTGTCTTTGAAGAATTGGGTCAAATAATTTACTAGAGATGAGTCGTAGCATCGTCCACGATCTTCCCAGCTGCAGCGACAGCCTTTTTGGTTAAGAAGGCCGGGACCGGGAGGGAGGTCGGTGGCGGTGACGTGAAGAAGGAGGATCCAGCGTAACCTTCTGTGATTTTCGCCGGTGAACGGGATATGGCTTCGGCGCTGCCCTTCTCCTTCTTACTGTTTTTCTGCAACAACGGACGGCCGTTCGAGGTGGCAACCCCTTTGCTTCCATTCTTTTGCTTCCACAAGCGAGGCGGCGTAGAAATGAAACTTTCCTTGGATTTTGCCGCCACAAAACTGCGATTACTTCCCTGATAATTAAACCTCCGGTCATGCCGATGATGAGAAACCTCAACGCTCGTCATTGGAGAAATTCGAATTTCCGAGAGAAAAGCAAGCAAGGATTTAGGCGATCTGATTATGAGAAAACAGACTTTTGCGTGCAAGTGGATAGATAGAGTGCATGGGAAAATCTGAGAAATGAAATGAAGGCCCCAGACTTTTATAGAAAATAAGCGCGTGTTTAAATACCAATTAATCTATCAAGAATGTATTTTTTTATTAGACAAAAATACCTCAACATATCTTTATAAATAATCTTATTTAAATATGTAAATTGTGAACATTCAGTATATAAATTCTGTATTTTGACTTGGATCCACCTTGTTAGGTGGACCCGAGTCCATGACATAACTGTTGAACACTAATACTATACCCCTGAGAGCATATGAGCCAATTGGGGCAAATAATTAGTGGGTTGTGAAATTCCTAGAAAGCCTTGTCATAAATGGTTGTTAAAGTGAAATTTCAAGAGATGACTAAATTGGCTACGCTTGAAATAATTGAAGGACTAAAATTTTTCAAAATTATATTGTGGACCAAGACCTTCAGCTAACAATATTATATATTTTCAGTTAACCGTCGAAGAAAATGAGAGTTGGACAGAGTAGTGCAGTCGTTATATCGTAGACCATGGTTCAAAAACGGCGCCGTTTCTTCAAGTAAAGAAACGGCTACCGTTACATATTAACGGCTGCCGTTACATATTAACGGATCCCTATTTTTTTGTGTGTTAATTACAAAACAAAATTAAAGTGTATCTAAAATGAAACTGTCTCACATATTATTTTTATATTATCAAATGAAAATGTAATTGAATTGAAATGAAATTGTAGTTGTGTTGAAATGAAACTTCAGTGTATATAAAATGAAACTGAATAACAGTTTCACATATTTGAGTTTATATTGTCCAATAAAACTGTAGTTATATCGAAATGATATTGTAGTTGTGTTGTAATGAAACTATAGTGTATATAAAATGAAACTGAATAAAACTTTCACATATTTGAGTGTGTGGCGAATGAAACTGTAATTATATCAAAATGAAATTGTAGTTGTGTTGAAATGAAACTGCAGTGTATATAAAATGAAACTGAATATGTTATACAAACAGAGCTACTTTATGCGGAACGGCACGGAGAAACAGCGCCGTTTTGAACCATGGTCCACAATGCTTTGTGGACCGCGGTCCACAGTATAATTTGCCTAGAGTAGTATAGAAAATTGAAGTAAACAGCCTAACATTCAAAATTTAAGATTCTAAGGCTGGCCTCCTAGCTACAAGGTTGGGTGCCGATCTAGAAAGAGAATCTGATAGTATTTTTCTCAACATTAGTCCCTCATTGACTACGATCGAAATAATTGAAGAACTGAATTTTTTAAAATTGAAAATTAAAACTACATATCATATCCACTAATAATTGAGGGATTGAAATTACAATTTTCCTTTGTAATATTATTTATTAATTATTATGATTATATGAATTTATGATTTAAATGTTGAAATTAAAAAGATTAATTATAACCTAAGTTTTTCTTGATGATTGATATAGAAAATAAAGTAGACTGATTCTGAGAAATCATAATATAGTATGTAGATGAAGTAATTATACACATACCAATACAATTAAAAATGACATCCTAAGACAAAGATTCAATTAAACTAATCTCCATAAAACCATAATCTATTCTAGTCTGAGAAAATAAAAGAATTGAAGTTGGGGTAGGTGGTAGATTGTGAGTTACACTCTCCATTATCCCGTTCGAGCATGAGTGTTAGGCATTTCTTTTCAAAGAATTATATTGGGTCAAATAATTCACAAAAGATCCATCCATCCAGCTTTCAGAATCCGCTACACATCACTCATAGAGTTGTCATTCTTCCCTGCAGCCGCAGCAACATCGTTTTTGGTTAAGAAGGCCGGGAGCGGGTGGGAGCTTGGTGGTGGCGATGTGAAGAAGGACCTTCCAGCGTAACGTTCTTCCATTTTCGGCGCTGAAGTGGCTGCTATGGCCTTCTCCTTCTTACTGGATTTGTAGTTCTTCTGCCTCGGGTTCGAGCTGGACAGACTGCCAAAACCTCCACCTCCGCTAATTCCATTCTTCTGGGAACTTGGCTTCTTCCGACACCACTTCGACGCCACAAAACGGTGGTGCTCACTGCCACTCTTCAACGGATCACTCGGATAAAGAACTCCAACGCCCGCCATTAAAATTTTTTTAATTTCCAAGAGGAAAACAACCACGAGTTTACGTCTAGAAATGAGAGCAAGACAGAGATTTTATAGAAAGATTATGATGGATATGATGATGGGTATTGGAGTGCTATGTTTTCCTAATTTAACTATGAAAAGGACTACTATTTTTTCCTCGTCAAATACCGAGTAGGATTTACTTATTTATTTCTAATATAAAAAATCTTAACAATTTTAACTCAATTTAGGTTAATACCTTAACTTTTGTCCATATTTCTATACTTTTTTTTTTTTTTTTTAGTGTTATGGACTCTATTATAATTTATAAGGTTGTATATATATTTGTTTTATACTTTTTCTGTTGCAACATAAAGACTCAATATTTATTTAGTTATACATTGGGCCACAAATATATCTCCGTACAATTGTTGCCTGGTGTAAATTATCCTATGATCAAACATATAATCACGTGACTTTTTTGGTTTATAGAAATGATATTTATACCTTCCACTTTTGGGGTGGTAGTACATGCTAAAGAACATATGACAATATTATGTATGTTTATGGCCATGTAACGTAACATCTTTTACAATCCATCATGGGTGGTGTTAGAGTATAATCCGTAACCTCTAGATCCTCGGCCGAGCAACAGATCTTGGGTTATGTCATTTGCATGCCTTTGACCGAGCTATTAGATCAACTTTCGAGCTACTAGGCCAGCCTCCTAGCTACAATGTTAGGTGCTGATCGATCTGAAAATTCAAACGAATCTGATAGTATTTTTCATTTTAATGTAATCCTACTTTTCATTTTTAAGAAATTCGGTTCTTCAATTATTTCAATTGTAGCCAATTTAATCATTCAGAAAAATTTCTTTTAACAGCGGCCATTGAATGCTAACACTATATCTCCGTCAATAATTAAGGGATTGAAATTACAGTTTCCTCTTTGTAATATTATTTATAAATTAGTATGATTATAGGGATTGAAATTACGGTTTGCCTTTTGTAATATTATCTATAAATTAGTATGATTATAGGACCGAACTTATGATTTTTTTTTTTTGGAAGAGACCGAACTTATGATTTAAATGTTGAAGAAGATTATAAATTAAGTTTTTGTTGATAAATGATATAGAAAATAGAGTAGACTGATTCTGACCGATCATACTATAGTAGATCAAGTAAATATACACATACCAATACAATTAAAAATGACATCCTAAGACAAAGATTCAATTAAACTAAACTGAAATCCATAATTATACGGTATACTATTCTAAATATATAATCTATTCGACTCCTCCTTGAGAAAATAAAGGAATTGAACTTGGACTAGGTGGCAGATTGTGAGTTACACCCCTCCATTATCATGTTTGTGTCTGGGAGTGAGGAATTTCAAAAAATAGAGCTTAAAGAATTGAGTCAAATAATTCAGTAAAGATAGAGCTTCAGAATCTGCCATGCACAGATAACTCCTACAATCACAGCATAACGTTCTTCCATTTTCGGCGCTTCACCTTCTCCTTCTTACTGGCAACCCTTCCACCTCCGCTAATTCCATTCTTCTGGGAACTTGGCTTCTTCGGACACCACTTTCCGCCACTGCCACTCATCAACGGATCACTCGGATGAAGAACCCCAACGCCTGCCATTCAAAATTTTTGAATTTTCAAGAGAAAAACAAGCACGAGTACAGTTTACGTCTAGAAATGAGACTCTGTAATCACAGCGAGTGTTGTCTATGGAAAATTTGAGAAAGCAAGGCAGAGATTTTAATTTATAGAAAGATTATGACTAGATGTAAGCGGATAATATAAGAGTGTTGTGTTTCCTAATTTCACTATGAAAAGCAGAACGTACTATTGTTTCCTTGTCAAATAAGGAGTAGGATTTACTTATTTATATATTTCTATTGTAAAAAAATGTAAAAAACTTTAACTTAATTTAGGTTAATACCCTTGACTTTTATCAATATTTCTATATATATATATATATATATATATATATATATATATATATATATATATATATATATATTTGTACGAGGAAATTTCAATTATGACATCTGTTATAAGCTAGTATCTCATTTATATATACTTTTTGTATTTGTTATAGTCTAAAGATCAATCATTATTACATGGACCATAGATAAAAAGTACATTTTTAATATACTACATAAGGTACATTTTTTGAAAGTACATTTTTAATATATTAAGGCTACATTATTTTATATAATGTATCTTCAATACCAAAATAATGTATCTTCAGTACAAAAATAATGTACTTTTAAAATATTAGAAATGTACCTGATATTTATGGTCCACAGAATTATGTGGACCATGGTCCACACAAAAATTTGCCCCTTAAAAGTGATCAATACTTATTTAGTTATACATTGGGCTACAAATATTATACTCCATACAATTGTTGGTGTAAATTATCCTATGATCGAACTATAAACACATGACTTTTTTGGTTTCTAGAAATTATATTTATACCTTTCAATTTTGGGTGGTAGTACGCGCTAAAGAAGTAAAGAACATATAAATCTTGTTAGGAACATATGTATTAAGATTTTGATGATACCAATGTAACTTAGACTGTAGATACCTAACTTTTTTAATTCATATGTATTAAGATTTTGATAATACCCTTGACTTTTATCAATATTTCTATATATATATATATTTTTGTATGAGGAAATTTCAATTATGACATCTGTTATAAGCTAGTATCTCATTCATTGTATCTATTATAGTCTAAAGATCAATCATTATTACATGGACCATAGATAAAAAGTACATTTTTAATATACTACATAAGGTACATTTTTTGAAAGTACATTTTTAATATATTAAGGCTACATTATTTTATATAATGTATCTTCAATACAAAAATAATGTATCTTCAGTACAAAAATAATGTACTTTTAAAATATTAAAAATGTACCTGATATTTATGGTCCACAGAATTATGTGGACCATGGTCCACACAATAATTTGCCCCTTAAAAGTGATCAATACTTATTTAGTTATACATTGGGCTACAAATATTATACTCCATACAATTGTTGGTGTAAATTATCCTATGATCGAACTATAAACACATGACTTTTTTGGTTTCTAGAAATTATATTTATACCTTTCAATTTTGGGTGGTAGTACGTGCTAAAGAAGTAAAGAACATATAAATCTTGTTAGGAACATATGTATTAAGATTTTGATGATACCAATGTAACTTAGACTGTAGATGCCTAACTTTTTCATCATCTCTTCACTAGTGCAGATCTGGTCATTTGCTACTGTTGTAAATGACATTTAGCTACTGTTGTACAACAGTCGCAGATACCAGCGTCACAAAAATCCTCGGACATTACGCGACTGTTGTGGAACAGTGGCGAATTAGGTATTAATTCGCGACTATTCTTGATGTCAAACAGTCGCGGATTGTATTTTTATTTATTTTTCATTTTCTTTATTCAGGGGTCATCCGCGACTGTTTTATGATAGAAACAGTCGTGGAATGTTTTCGTTTTAATATATATCCGCGACTGTTCTAAAGGAAGAACAGTCGCGGATTTTTTTTTATTTTAATTATTAAATTTATTTTTGTTAAATCCACTATTTTTTTTTTAATAATTCTTGTACCTGTTACAGTTAAAAGTCCTACACAACACAATTTATCTATCAATACACTACTTTATATCACCACATTTTAATATCATAGAACCACAATACTTTTAACACAAAACAATCATCAATACTTTAACAAAATGCACTTGAACACAATACTATCATCAAAACACAATACTACTTTATATCCTCGATTACACTTTAATATAATAATATCATCAAAACATGCACAAAACAATACTATCATCAAAACAAAACTATTTATCAATAAAACAAAAGTTACACGCACTCCGAAAAGAAGTATTTTGCCCATTGCTCCCGAATCTCATTTATGTCATTGATGGAGTACGGACTATCGCTTTCAAATGCCTACAAAAAAATTTAAGTAATCAAATTTATGTTAATTAATAAAATATAACTTAACTGTACTATACATAGTTGCATTTAAATTCACTTACCTTATCCAAATCATCAAATGATGAATATTTTGTCACGATACCAAACATGTATCGCATGACATAATATCCACACTCATAATCTCCAGGTTGTATCGGGCACTACAAAATACATATATATATTATTAATTTAAGCAATTTATTGTTATTCATATTATCACACTAATTAAAACTTAAATTCAATTTCTATACATACTTTGCATGAAACCATTGGTTAGTTTGATGATAACCATTGGCTTCCTCGACTATTGTGTCATTGCCACATTCAGAATAACCATTGGTTAGTTTGAGACATGAAACAGTGCCAATTTCTTTAAATTTTATCACATGAATGAATGCACATGACAAGACATTGGAAGTTAATCCACTAGAAGATGGTAGAGTCTTCTATATTACTATCAAGAAAAGATGATAACTACACCAATCTTAGGTTTATAACAAAGCCTAGCAGATGGTAAATTTTAGAATCACTCTAGTGGATTAACTTCCAATGTCTTGGTTCTCTAAGATTTTTTTAAACCAATAACAATCCAAAGCAGGATATGTGGGCTGCTCTGAAGCTTATGTTGAATGGAAACTGATTCTGCTTCAGAATATAATGCGATTTTTCAATAAACATTAGGTGCTGGGCAGTGTAAAATCACTTTGAATGTAAATACATGCCTGGTAAATTTTCCCAGTAGTTATATTGTTGTCCCGCGTCAGCTTATTATCTAGGAATGCTTATATTGTTGTCCAATTCTGTAGTAGTGTAAACTCCTAGGATCTTCAACATCAATCTTCAATCTTCCACCTACCTGCAAAACAATTAAATGGCTTGATCTCTACATATGTAGATCCACCAAACAAAAGCTGCACAATATTTCTACTGCCAGTACCCTCAACAAGCTGTAACCCTCAGAGACTGCCCAGCTAGCAGCCCATCATTGGGTTAAAGTATCTGAGTGCCATGATGAAGGTCTCAGCTGGACAGCTTCATAAACCAAACATCCTAATCCTAGCAAACAAGCCTCAGCTTCTCAGTTTTCTAGGCAAGTTCACCAAGTTCTTTTACCCCTCAAGATTGCCAAGCCAAACAACCTATCATTGGGGTTTATTATTACTTTAACATTAAATACAACACCCCTCAACTGAATATCCTTAGGGTGTTCTTCCAATAACCAAAACTATCCACCTAACTTATATCCCCCTCATATCCATTTTTCAACTCACTTCCTATTCATTCTTTTTTTCACTCAGCTTTTTAAACTGACCTCCTTATAACACCTTTTCTTTTCATCATCTTTTTTCCAAATGGCCAACAAAGAGACCCTTTTCAGGGCAGCTTTATGGACTTATCTTAAAAAAATGAATAAATACAGTTAATATTCCGTAGAAACATAAAGTTAATATTCACGGATCAATCTACAGTTTGGTTTTAATAACACTAGTTAGATGAAGTTTATTAACAAAACTCTACAGTCTTCAGAGACTATAGGCTGGATCAATGGAAAATCACAAGAACACCTCAAATTGACATGGATTTAAACAAACTGGGATCTAATAAAAAGCAATTATGCATAAAGAAACACACTTGAGAGATAGAAATGCACTCACCAAGCATATACCAAAAAGGGCTCTAGTATTTTTGCCACCAGTTAAGTCTACAGTTGATGCATAATATTTCTTGGCTATCTGAAGATTTTCTTGTCCACCTAGCGTATATAGAATCTGGTTCAGCCAAAAAGAGTCTACTCAACATTTAATTACATGGTTTAAGGAGGGGAAAACATCAAGTTCTATAGTGATTTATAATATCAGAGCAATTTATCTTCATAGAATCTGTTAAATAAGGAATTGGAAGAAGAGAAAGAAAGGCATGTCTAAGAACAAACACTTTGCACATCTAGATTATTATCTCCGTGAAGAACAAACTAACCTGGTTATTGCAGATGGACAGTGGCTGTGGCGAGCGGAGACGGTGACGGCGGCTGTGGCGAGCGGAGACGGTGACGGCGGCTGTGGCGACCGGAGACAGTGACAGACTGACAGTGGTTATGGCGGGCGGAGGCAGTGACGGTCGTCGCGTCCGCACCTGTGGCGGAGGAAAGGGCGTTCAGCGGATGTGGAGGCGTTCGCCGTTGAAGATGGCTGCGGCGGCGTTCGCCGTTGAAGATGGCTGTGGCAGCGTTCGCCGTTCGCGGGAGGAGCTGAGATCGAAAGTTTTTAATTTTCAATTCATTCGATTTGTTATTGTTGCATAAGGTGCAGGGGTAGGGTTTTTTTTATTGTTTTTTGAAATGAATTTTAATTATTTTTTTTTAAAAAATAAATTCCGCCACTGTTTCAAAGAGAAACGGTGGCGTTTTATTTTTCTATTTTGCAACTGTTTTAACTAGAAACAGTAGCAAAATATTAAAGCGTTATTTCAATTATTACGAAATTGCCACCGCGAATTTTTGAATTAAGAATACACTACTGTTTTTTTTTAAAACAGTAGCTAAATGCCAGTCTCCTATGCCCTGTTTTGTACTAGTGCTTGTTGCCACTTTCGTCCTAGACGAAAAATACCATAACTCATCTTGTAATTCGTGTTAAGCTAGACAAACACACGAAACTGAGTTATGATATGTTAGTTAGGTCTATTAGGACGAAAGTAGATCGAAAGATTAAAGAAAGGCTATCTATCGGTTATGCAACAAATGAAGAGGTGCTCCTCACAGCCACCAACTCAGACGAAAGATAAAAGCAATCTTTCGTGAAGAGAGACTTTAAGTCTACAATCAGATTGCCAAGACAATTCATCTTCACATAATTCAAGAAGAATGTTGTCTAAGTCTCAGCTGAGAAATCATCCTAGGAACAAGTTGTCCTAAGAACAAGGTGCACATTAACCAAGATGCATTAAATGCCATTGTACCTCTTTCCAGAGCTAGAAGACAAAAACTTGCAGAAGTTCTTGCCACCAACGACTACATGGTACAACCGCAATAAATGAAGCATTAAATGCACCAAGCTCTCCGAGCATTACCCACTGGTCCATAGGTTTGAAATATCATCTCCCTCCAATAGATGGATATTTCCTCTCCTATAAATACCCACCTTCTCCATTGAAGAAGGTGCTAGTTTTTCACTCAACTGATAATACTTATGCAAAAGCTCCTTATACAAGTTCACTCTTCTAAGCTTTTGAAAACCAGTGATTCAAGTTGTGAAGTTTCAAAGAGAGCCATCAGATTTCATCTTCACAATCTTGAAGAAGTCTTGCATCTTATACACGTTGATCATCCATCATTCAACCAGTCAGCCAAGACTTCAATCTGTTGGAGAACCACGCAAATCTTTTCTTCCAACCCTCAACTCTGAAGAAGACGTTGATAGAGGCGGAGTAAACTCTAGGAGTTGAAAAACCTTCCAAGTAGCTGTCCGACTTAGTGATCAAGGAAGCTAGCTTGACATAGTTTGTACTAGGAGTGATAGTGCAAACCCTTTCACAAGTTGTGAAAGAAGAGTGGAGTAGGCACAGTTGGCCGAACCACTATAAAAATCTCTCGTCTCTCTATTTACATACCGCTTTACTTTCGTGCATCGCATATCATTGGCCCTTAAACCGAAATTTTTATAAGCATAAAACAGTGCAAAGCAATACTAAAAAAGGAGTTATTTCTGTAAAAATCGAACTGAGTCTATTCACCCTCCCCCCCCCCCCCCCCCCCAGACTCTCCTTTCGACCCTATTGGGACCAACAAATCTATTGTATAGAAATTATGGATATGGAACCCTGTCCACCTTGCAACGTGGGCACGTTTCAAAAGCATAATTTGCTGGACATTGGGGCATTGGGCTTATGAATCTTGAAATTAGAAAGCACTTGACTTTACAACACCAATTTTAGAGATGGTTTTGGATATTAAATCTCATTGAAGCCAGAATCTGTTTGTAGTTACACAGTTTGTAAATAATTCATCCTACAAAATATAGGATAATTGTAGGATTAATTCGTTCATTCTTGTTGGTCATATTACTTCTCGTTTTTAAGTTAACTAGTATTTTACGCGCATTGCGCGATTGGATAATGCCCAATGTTTTTTTTTTTAAATAAGTACTTTAAAGTATATCAAGGCAAGATTATATTAGAATTGTCGATGCATAGATAATTGAATGTTAAATTTGCGTATTTAAATAGGCAATTCTAAGTTTACAAATGCAAGATAATATAGTCAAGATTGATTATAATTGTCAATAAAATAATTGTATAGGTATGGTTAAAACCAAATATGAGACATAAGGGGAACAAATAAAAATTAGGGCATAAAATATTAAATATATACTAATATTGAAGAGCTAACTGCTGATTGCCAAATAAGGACATTGCGAGATAGTTTCCCACTTCAATTTGTTGTGTAATTTGAATACTCTTTTTGTCAATAAATCCCCCAAGTAGTTAATATGATTGACTTAATTATATATATTTTTTAAAATAATAATAATAATAATAATAATTATTATTATTATTATTATTATTATTATTATTATTATTATTATTAAATATATGTATACCCTTAGGTCATTTTACATGTTAATCGAAACAACTAATTTTTTCAAATATCTTTTTATCAAATGTTGATATAATTCGCTGGTCAAATTCGCTAATATAATTCGTTAACGCTAACCGCTAACTGCTGATTGTCAAACAAGGACATTGCGAGGTAGTTCTCACTTCAATTTGTTGTGTGATTTGAATACTCTCTTTGTCAACAAATCTCTCAAGTAGATAATATGATTGTCTTTATTAATTATATATTTTTTAATTTTTTTCATGGTATTATTAAAATACATGGTAAATAAATATATAGCATTATTTTGGATCCCCGATAATCATCACCAGTTCCAAAGTTAAATGCAGAAGTTGGGTCCCCGGTAATCATATTCCCAGATGGGAAAACGCCACTTGCATATGTGTTAAATGGCGTGCAATTTTCGTGCACCAGCATAAGCTAATGATGAGCTTTCTGGTGAATTTTTTTCATCAGATTTTCCATCCCAGTTTTCAGAGTTACAAGCTACTGGAAGCTAAGATCATCGTAAAAGCCTCTCAGCCATCCATGAGCTTCACGATTCGCCTCCACAGCTCTATCAATGGCCTCACCCCTCTTCTTCTCAAGCTCAAATATGGCTTCAAGCCGCGTCAGCTCCATGTTGAGCTCCTGGACCCTTGCATTCCGGTGATCCTCAATAAACTGCTCCGTCGCCGCCAACACCCTGCCGCCAGTCTCGTTAACCGGCGGCGCAGGGTTGTTCTCACCGAGAACCCTCTCCACCACCGCTTCCACACTGGGGTGGCCGAACGAGAAAACCTTCTTCTCCGACGGCGAGAAAGCAATAATACCAACATCAGCGCCGCAGAGGGTGGAAAGCTCACTGGCCTTCTTGAAAAGTCCAGCGCGGCGCTTAGAGAACGTGACTTCAAGATGGCTCTTGTTCTCTATCTTTGCCATCTCAACCCTTTGCCTGCCCCTACTTGTTCTCGCCATAGCTAACCTTCGATTCTCAAGGATATCACAACTTTAATTTTATTTGCTACTTTATATTATGTTCTCCTAGGCTTATAACACAAGCATATTTATAGGATTATTAAGCTGGCTTAGAAAATTACTATTACTTTATTTCTTAACATATAAAATGGCTTGGGACAATCAACCTATACTCCATTATGGTAATTTACTTTATTTGTATTGTATACTGGGAGCTACTTTATTCTATGGTCAAAGATAATATCGTATTAAATTAAAAATTAATTGTGGACCATAAATAATACATAGGAAATAGAAATGAATTGAAGTACAACTATACATAGTTTAAACCCGGCATGTGACTGGATTCCCGATCCCGTTAATATGTGATTCAACCTTATTTGATTATAAATAATTTAATTAATAAATATAAAATGATTAACGTTTGTTACGAATTTAAATACTTAATTTGTACATGTTGTTTAAGACTTATTTACTATTTTATGTGATGGTCAAAGATTAAACCATGTTAAAAACTCATTCGTGGATCATAAATAATACATATTAGGAAATAAAAATGAATTGAAGTACAACTGTACAAGGTTTAAACCCTACGACCCCATCCCCGATCCCGCGCACTTAAATGTGATTCAACCTTATTTGATTACAAGTACTTTAATTAATAAATATAAAATGATTAACGTTTGCTACGAATTTAAACACTTGATTTGTGTATGTTGTTTAAGACTTATTTTTTACTTTATGTGATGGTTAAAGATAAAATCGTATTAAAAACTTATACGTGAACCATAAATAATACATATTAGGAAATAAAAATGAATTGAAGTACAATTGTACAAGGTTTAAACCGTGTGACCCGCTCCCCGTTCCCGCTAATATGTGATTCAACCTTATTTGATTACAAGTAATTTAATTTATAAATATAAAATGATTAACGTTTGCTATGAATTTAAACACTTAATTTGTATATATTGTTTAAGACTTATTTACTACTTTATGCGATGGTCAAAGATAAAATCGTATTAGAAATTGATACGTGAACCATAAATAATACATATTACGAAATAATACTTAATATCTCGATTGTGAATAGGTAGTAAAAAAAATAAATTAGTTCTTGTCTTTAAAATTATATACTAATATAGAAATCAAAATTGAACAATAATTATATTTCATAGTCATGTAAAACAATCAATTTCTCTGGTATGTGTTAGATGATACAAATGTGGAAAATATGTTACAAACCATTTTATTCCCTCACTTTGTATGGGCATAATAAACATGACAAAATATGGTAGCTAGATAATTTAATACCAACCGTCTAACAAATAAAGAAAAACTCCCGCCCTTAGGGTTGGGGTTCAGCCTTTGGAAGAATAAAGAAAAACTCCAATTATGATATTTGGTAATTGTCGATATTTTCAACAACTTTCAATAGGGGTGATCGAAAATAATGAAAATATTTTTTTTTTTTAAATTTCAAAGTTGTTGGTACGATCATTTTTGCTCAAAAGCTCTAGCTTTCCAATCACCTCCAAAAATGAGAGAATTTGAGTTGTGATTAAATTCGAACACAGCTCAATGAAATTTTGTCTACCCAAAGAATACAATGCAAAAGCTTTTTCATTATTTTGTCAATCATTATTACATGGACCAGAGTCAATAAATAAAAAGTACATTTTTAATATACTAATGATACATTATTTATGTACGTAAGGTACATTTTTTAAAAGTACATTTCTAATATACGAAGAATACATTATTTTATACAATAATGTACCTTCAGTACAAAAAATAATGTACTTTTACTATATTAAAAATGTACCTGATATTCATGGTCCACACAATAATTTACCTTATTTTGTTTGGACTTACAATACGAGAGAAAAAGACGAAGAAGTTGAAAGTTGAAAGTTGAAAGATTAAGTTGAAGTTCATCATCAGCATGGGGCTGACATACATGGAGGCAATAATTGAGTCGAAGAAGAAGAGGAGTGAAGCGATTGATGAAATTGTGGAAGCAAATCAAGAAGCCCAGGGATGTATGAGAGCTTCTCACAATGAACTCAATTTGTAGTAGCTTTTTTTTTTTTGAAAAATGATATGGAAAATCCGATAAAAGAATATTAAGAATTTTATGCCACTAGCTAGTTCGTCCAGTCACTAGCTTCTTCAAGTTTTACACCAATGGACTTAATTGTAACTGTCTGAGAAAATTAAAGAATTGAAGTTGGGGTAGGTGGTAGATTGTGGGTTACACCCCTCCATTATATTATCCTAGAGTTAGGCATTTCTTTTCAAAGAATTGGGTCAAATAATTCACAGCTTTCAGAATCCGCTACACATCATTCATAGAGTCGCCATTCTTCCTTGCAGCCGCAGCGACAGAGTTTTTGGTTAAGAAGGTCGGGAACGGGAGGGAGGTTGGTGGCGGCGACATGAAGAAGGACCATCCAGCGTAACGTTCTTCCATTTTCGGCGCTGAAGCAGCTATGCCCTTCTCCTTCTTACTGGCAACACTTCCACCTCTGCTAATTCCATTCTTCTGGGAACTTGGCTTCTTCGGACACCATTTCCGACACCACTTTCCGCCACTGTCACTCTTCAACGGGTCACTCGGATGAAGAACCCCAACGCCCGCCATTGGAAAGTTTTGAATTTTCAGGAGAAAAACAAGCACCAGTACGGCCACAGTACAGTTTACGTTTAGAAAAGAAACTCTGAAATCACAGCGAGTGTCTATAGGAAAAATCTGAGAAAGCATATATGGTAGAGAGTTTATAGAAATATTATGACCGGAGGGTAAGCGAATTAGAGTGCTGTGTCTCCTAATTTCACTATGAAAAGCAGTACTATTTTTTTCCTTGTCAAATAAGGAGTAGGATTTACTTATTTATTTCTAATGTAAAAAAATGTAAAAAACTTTAACTGAATTTAGGTTAATACTCTTAACTTTTATCAATATTTTTATATATTTTTTTTAGTATTATTGACTCTGTTATAAAACAGTATCTCATTTATATATACTTTTTGTGTCTATTATAGCCTAAAGATTAATCATTATTACATGGACCATGAATATATAAAAAGTACATTTTTAATATACTATGTAAGGTACAATTTTGAAGGTACATTTTTAATATACTAAGGCTACATTATTTTATATAATGTACCTTCAATACAAAAATAGTATATCTTCAGTACAAAAATAATGTACTTTTAATATATTAAAAATGTACATGATATTCATGGTCCACACAATTATGTGGACCATGCCCTTTAAAAGTGATCAATACTTATTTAGTTATATATTGGGCTAAAAATTTTATACTCCGATCCATACAATTATTGGTGTAAATTATCCTATGATCCTACTTATAAACACATGACTTTTTTGGTTTCTAGAAATTATATTTATACCTTTCAATTTTAGGTGGTAGTACTTGCTAAAGAAGTAAAGAACATATGACAATCTTACATGCATTTATGGCCATGTAACTCTCCACAAGGTTGTTTTCAACTTTTAATTATGTTTGACTGTTACTATAATTAATATTTGAATTTAGAACAGTTTTGCATGGTTATTGATCCTGGATAACAATTCCTCTCAGATGTTTGGAATGTCTAAAGTTGTTGCTGAAAGAAATGCAGAAGTGAAGGAGGTTGAGAGCAAACTTCCACTCCAAACAGTCATATCTGAATAGTAAATTCAGAGCTGCAATTGAATTCGAAAAGAAAATTTTTAATAAAATCATCAACTAATTCCTTTCCTATGTACTGTAAGAGTTCCATTAGGTGATCAGTCTTGTTACTTCATCCATTCCTTGATTTTCATGTGGTTTCCATATAACCCAGGAAAGAAATTATGCTTTCATAATTTTGGGTTGTTTGCACATTCTTCTGATGAACAACTTAGTTAAATGTTATGGTCAAAATATTAGGACTCTATGTATATGAGTCTGTTTAGAACTTCTTATTCTTGTCACATTGTGACTCTCTACTTCTTATCATTGTCACATTGTGACTCTCTATTCTATATATTCACATCATCTGATCTCATTGTAATTAAGTTCAGAAAATATAATACAATCAGTTCTCATCTGGTATCAGTTAGCTAGGGTTTTGTGATTCATAAAATTAAGAAGATGCAGCGCTGCGATGGCAACCTTAATTACCATGGAGGTCAGCAACGTGGCTATGATGATCCGTGTCAAATTTGTAAACGTTTTGGTCACACGGGAGCCAATTGTTTTTGGCGCTATGATGATTCGTGTCAAATTTGTAAACGTTTTGGTCACACGAGAGCCAATTGTTTTTGGCGCTATAATGATCCGTGTCAAATTTGCAAAAGTTTCGGTCACACGGGAGTCAACTGTTTTCGGCGATATTCAGGGGCTCCGGGTTCTCAGGCTAATTTGGTGTTTCAGAATGGTTTAGTTGCTAAAACCTCGTCAAATTCTCATACTTGGGTTCCGGACACTGGAGCCACAAATCATGCAACTCCGAACATCGCTGTCCTTTCTACATCGGAGAAGTACACTGGTAATGACACTTTACGTGTCGGTGACGGTATGGGTTTATCTATTAGTCATGTTGGCCATGCCTCTTTTAATACCCCTTCTAGATCATTTACATTGTCTGATATACTTCACGTTCCGCGTTTGTCTAATTCTTTATTATCTGTTCAGAAGTTTGCATCCGATAATAAAGTCTTTTTTGAGTTTCACCCTCCTTTTTTGTTGTAAAAGATATCAATACCAAGGAAATACTTCTTCGGGACAATAGTTCGGGGGGACTATACACACTTTCATTACCTAGTTCGTCTCCGTCAGCGTTTATTTCCGCTCGTGCCTCTGCTTCCACTTGGCACAATCGTCTAGGTCATCCTCATAACCGTGTTCTTAGCCATATACTTCGTTCTTGTTTGGTTAGTGGGTCTCGTGATAATATTCGTTGTCATAATTCTTTATGCAATGCGTGTCAATTAGGCAAATCTGCCC